CCTGCCTCTTCTCCCCAATCCTCTTCCTCCCTTTTTTCTCCTCTCTCTCCCTCCTCCTCCTACTTCCACTCCTCTTCCCTTCCCTCCTCTCCTCTTCCCTTTTCCCTCCTCTCCTCCTCCTCTTCCTCCTCTCCTTTTCTTCCCCCCCTCCTCCTCGTCCCACGCCTCTTCCCTTCCTCCCCCCTCCCTCTTCCTTTTCCCCTCCTCCCCTCCTCTTCCTTTTCCTCTCCTCCTCTTCCTTTTCTCCCTCCTCCCTCCTCTTCCTTTTCCCCCTCCTCCTTCCTCCTCCTCCTCTTCCCTGTTAGTTAATTTTCATTTAGTGTCAACATCCGGGTCAGAAAATGTTGTCAGGATGTACAGGATTTTGTAGGAGGCAGTTTACCCTCCTCCCTCTTGTTGTTGTTCTTCTCCTTCCTCTTCCTCCCCCTTGTTGTTGTTCTTCTCCTTCCTCTTACTCCTCTTCCTCCCTCTTGTTGTTCTTCTTCTCCTTCCTCTTACTCCTCTTCCTCCTCTTGTTGTTGTTCTTCTTCTCCCTCTTCCTCCTCTTATTTATTCTTTCTCCTCCTCCTCACAATTCATTCATAACCTCCAGTATACATTCAGCCCCTTTAAAAGTATACATACGGCCCCTTTAAAAGTATACATTCAGCCCCCTTAAAAGTATACATTCAGCCCCCTTAAAAGTATACATTCAGCCCCCTTAAAAGTATACATTCAGCCCCCTTAAAAGTATACATTCAGTCCCCTTAAAAGTATACATTCGGCCCCTTTAAAAGTACAGAGGGGCTGTCCGTGGTCCGTTTTACTACCTGCTGGCTGTGTGTGTGTGTGTGTGTGTGTGTGTTATATATCTTTTAAAGTGGACGACTTACAGGTAATTTTCATCTTGTAATTAATGTGAGGGAGAGTCCAGGTGTTTGGGAAGGGAGGGGTGGAGGGGAGGTCAGGGCGTGGTGTAGAGTAGGGAGATGGGTTAGGTTAGGGTGTTAATCAGCAGGTGAAATAAGCTGGGGTGGCTAATCTTCAGGTAATCCGAGACTTAACGTCGTGTGTCGCTGCTAACACCTTGACAGGACCAGTGGCACAGGTAAATGGAGGTGTGAAGACTAATACCTGGTTGTAATTGGTTAACTCACCTTGTTCCTCAGTGACAGGTGTAGGGGGGTGGTGAGGGGTGTGGGAGTGGGGTGTGGGGTGGAGGGAGGGGGTGTGGGGTGGTGGTGAGGGGGTGTGGGGTGGGAGGGGGGTGGGTGGGGTGTGTGGTGGTGAGGGGGGTGGGGTGTGGTGAGGGGGGTGTAGGGGTGTGGGGTGAGGGGGTGGGGTGGTGGTGAGGGGGTGGGGTGGTGGTGAGGGGGTGGGGTGGTGGTGAGGGGGTGTGGAGGGGTGGGGGTGGTGGTGAGGGGTGGGTGGGGGAGGGGGTGGGGTGGTGGGGAGGGGGTGTGGGGTGGTGGTGAGGGGGTGGGGTGGTGGTGAGGGGGTGTGGGGTGTGGTGAGGTGATGGAGATTATTCATATGTTTTTGGTAAACAACAACAACAACATTCAATTAACGCCAGTATTGTACTTGTCTGATTAATCTATAGGAAAAAGTGAATTATACTCGACCGAAGTAAAGTTTGTTCAGCTTAGTATAAAGTCTACCACCACCACCACCACCACCACCACCACCACCACCACCACCTAACACCACCACCACCACCACCACCAACACCACCACCTACCACCACCACCACCACCACCACCACCACCACCACCACCACCACCACCACCACACCACTACACCACCACTAACACCACCACCACTACACCACCACCACCACCAACACCACCACAACACCACCACCACCACCACCACCACACCACCACCACCACCACCACCACTACACCCACCACCACCACTACCACCCACCACCACTAACACCACCACCACCACCACCACCACCACTCCTGACACCCACTGAGGTGTTCGGGAAGGGAGGAGATTTATGTCTGTCACCAAAAACCTCCTTCAAAAATTTTTACCCTCATTTTACTTCCTGGTGTGTGTGTGTGTGTATGTGTGTGTGTGTGTGTGTGTGTGTGTGTGTGTGTGTGTGTGTAATAATAATAATAATAATAATAATAATAAACGGTTTATTAATAGAGTTGCAGCCGGCGGCTGAAAAATACAAACTTACATGTGATTTAAACATAATAATATACGTTCAATACATTTACAGGGCTGTATAGTACATAAATCAGGAGTTGTTTATTATTTTAACAATAGATGGGATGGTGGTTCTTATATCTATCGGTGCGGGCTCTTATGGGCTGAATTTTGTTGTAGTGGCGGACTGCACGAGGTGGGCGGGGGCTGCCGGTGGCGATGAAGAGGATGGTGCAGTAGTCCACTGCCAAACCCTACTAGTGCGTGGTGGTGGAGGTCACTGAGGGATGGCATTTCTAGGGTGGAGAGAGCGTTGTTGTAGCCTGAGTAGTCTGCGCCGAGCATGATTCTGCAGGCCCTCTTCTGTACCTTCTCAAGCTGGTGTTGTTGGGTAGAGTTGAGAGAAGACGACCAGGCTGTTGACGCAGACGTTAATTTGGGGAGAATAAAGGCGTTGTAGATAGTCCTCAACTCTGGCGTGGGTGTCCCAAGTGACCTGAGTCGTCGTAGCATGTAGAGTCGGTACGAGGCTGCCTTGATTGTGTTGTTTACATGGGACTTCCAGTCAATTTTGTGGCTATAGTTACACCCAGGAGTGTGTGTGTGTGTGTGCGCGCGTAACAACAGTATTAGCTGGCCAGTGTAATTTGTCCTCTTGTGTTTGTTCATAAAAGCGTGAGGTGAGTTATGACGTAGGAGAGGAAAATTTGATGTGACGGAGGAGGAGGAGGAGGAGGTTGAGGTTAAGTGAGGGAGGAGGTTGAGGTTAAGTGAGGGAGGAGGTTGAGGTTAAGTGAGGGAGGAGGATGCTAAGTGAGGGAGGAACCATTGCCACTTCTATCCCGGTGAGGTCTTGGCCAGGGACTCGAGCTTCTCCTCCTCAACAGGTGTTCAACAGGTCGCTTCATCACGCACCCATCCACCCCTTCCCCTCAACACCCCACACCCCTCACACCCCACACCCCACCCCACCCCCACCTCCACACACACCCCACCCACACCCCCCACCCATCCCTCAGCCCCACCCCACCCCACACCCCTCACACCCCACACCTCTCACCCCACCCCTCACACCCCACCCCCACCTACACCCCCTCCCCACCCCCACCCCCACCCCACCCCCACCCATCCACCAGCCCCACCCCTCCCCACCCTCCACCCCTCCCCACCCTCACACCCTCACACCCCCACACCCCTCCCACACCCCTCACACCCCTCCACCCCACCCCACACCCTCACACCCCTCCAGCCTGACACAGATGTACTCCATGTGGCTCCTCCCAGGACTGAAGTCTTGTCAAGATTCCAGGTCCAGGGTTCGATGTTTATATAATGATGTACCATTTGGGTGATAATTGTGATATTAGTGGTAGTATAGGTGATAACAGGTGGTAATAGTGTAGGTTGTGGTGATAATGGTGATGGTGATAATGGTAATGGTGGTGATGGTGATAATGGTGTTGGTGGTAGGACGCCGCCAGCTGTAGGAGGAAGGGCAACAGGAAGGGGCGTCGCTTATCTAACCACCTCAGGAAATACAACACTTCATTATTGGCCCTCCTGCTGGTGGAGAGAGAGAGAGAGAGAGAGAGAGAGAGAGAGAGAGAGAGAAGAACAAGAAAAGTGTGATGAAACAAGTAAGTAAGAGAGAAAAACAATAACACGTGGAAGAGGTTAAGTGAGAATGACATTTTATTTTTTCAACAAGTTCCAAGAAGAAACAAAATTAATGTGTGTGTGTGTGTGTGTGTTTTATCAAGAACTTAGTATTAACATAAACACAAAGGGTTAATAGTCACAATACCTGGCAAAGAACAATAAACGCCTTTACAATAGACCTTAACCCACCACAACTAGGGAGAGGCTGAGAAAATTCCCTGAATCTGGGGAAACTCCAGGTAAATAACTCAGGTGTGATGTAAGGTTATGACTACCTGTGTTAATTAAGGAACTTGAGGTAAGAACCAACTAAAGACTGTAGGAAAATATTGTACTGAGTTTACGTGAAGATTATTCCCCAGCTTGTTTCATCTAACCTAACCTAACAGAAAGGACGAAAGGAATGAATGAGGGAAGGAGAGGGGGAGGGAATGAGGGAAGGAGAGGGGGAGGGAAGGAGAGGGGGAGGGAAAGAGGGAAGGAGAGAAGGAGGTAAGGTAGGTCAGATATCAGGGTTTAGTGGTCGCCAGTCTCCCAACACTCTGTCAAAAGCATTTACTGTGGCGGGAGGAAGGATGTGTGATGCTCTGGTATCCTGGAGGAGTGGGAGGAGGAGGAGGAAGAGTGGGAGGAGGAGGAGGTAGGTGTTGGGTCAGGTGTATGTTGGGTCAGCTATGGATTAGACTAAGTAAGTGTTGAACCGGGTATGTATTAGACCAGGTATATGTTACGTGTGCCAGGTGTGTATTATACCAGGTATGTATTAAACCAGGTATGCATTGACTTCAGGTATGTGTTACGCGTGTACCAGGTGTGTCCCATATGTTACGTGTGCCAGGTGTGTATTATACCAGGTATGTATGTTAGGTGTACCCCGTGTATGTATTTGACCAGGTATGTATGTTAGGTGTACCCTGTGTATGTATTTGACCAGGTATGTATGTTAGGTGTACCCTGTGTATGTATTTGACCAGGTATGTATGTTAGGTGTACCCCGTGTATGTATTTGACCAGGTATGTATGTTAGGTGTACCCTGTGTATGTATTTGACCAGGTATGTATGTTAGGTGTACCCCGTGTATGTATTTGACCAGGTATGTATGTTAGGTGTACCCTGTGTATGTATTTGACCAGGTATGTATGTTAGGTGTACCCCGTTGTGTATAATGAAGCATTAACACGGTCCTCTGTTTCAGTGTGCGGAGTGTGATGCATAAACACCTGGAGAAGATGGGTGAGGTGAACTTCGACAAAATCTTCAACCAAAAACTCGGTAAGTAGGCCATTAAATCTCCCGTTCCATTCTGCTCCATTTCATTTAATTCCATTCTATTCCATTCCATTTCATTTCATTTCTTCCCCTTAAAATTGGTGTTGACATTTATGTTTAGTAGTTATTGAGGAGACTGATACGTAAAAATGTGTGTTTACATACATACATACATACATACATACACACATACACACATACATACATACATACATACATACATACTGGTTAACACACAACACACACACACGAGTCTTATCTCCCTTACCAGCTGGCTGAGGCATTGCTGGCACTTGAACCCACCGCTGTCACCACTACCACCACCTGTACCACCACCTGTACCACCACCACCTACTCCCCTACCCCTCCTCCTACCACACATATACTATACCACTTTATTCCCCCATAATCACCATCATCATCACCATCATCATCATCATCATCACCATCATCATCATCATCATCATCCCTGACTCAGAACAACGAGGCTGGGTCAACCACATTGGCTTCTTATATTTCTTTACTTTTAACCATTTATTTATTTTGTGTATGTATGTGTATGTATGTATGTATGTATGTTTGTATGTATGTATGTATGTATGTATGTATGGTACTAAGGCAGAAGACCACCACTACTACTACTACTACCACTACCACCTCCTCCCCCTCTTCCTCCTCCTCTTCCTCATTTTCCTTCTCTTCTTCCTGCCTCCTCCTACCTCCTCTTCCCGTCTCTCTCTCCTTCTCTTTCTACCTACTCCCCCTGCTTACTCCTCCCTCTTCCTTCCTTCTCTCTTCCTCCCCATCCTTCCTTCTCTCCTCCTCCTCCTACCTTCCCCCTCCCTATCCTCCTCCTCTACCTCCTCCTCCTACCTCCTCCCTGACGTAAAATATCACAGGCGGAAGGTTTGAAAAAGTTGGACGGCCGGGAATGAGAAATATATTTTTAGGTGAAGGCGTCATAGAGGCGGTACCCGTGTGACACCTGGTGGGGCGGACTCTCGCTCTGACACACATTAAACGAGAAGAAATAACTGAAAAAGAGGAACTGAATCAAAAAAAATCAAATTGAGTTCGTTATGTAATTTTTTTTTGAGGGGGGGGAGGTAAATTTTATACTGTTGATGTAATGTGTGTGTGTGTGTGTGTATGTGTGTGTGTGTGTGTGTGTGTGTGTGTGTGTGTGTTGGCCGTCATGATTCCTCTCCTCTGGCACCAAGGTCTAGACACACACACACACACTGTTAGGGTCAGCGTTTGTTTACACTCTGATGTTGACCTTATGTATTCGTCCTAATAAAACGTTTCAGCTGTGACGTCTTAGTCTCTATGATGCTGCTCACATATGGAACCGTATCTGAGCTGTGAGGAGGGTGAACTGTGAGGAGTGAGTAAGCTTTAGGAGTGTCTTAACTGAGGCCCTCACACTGCCCTCACAACGCCACCCGCCCTCACTCCGTCAACCACTCCCTTCACACCGCCACCCACTCCCTTCACACCGCCACTCCACTCACTGAGACAAGTTATTTCCACTCCACCCACCCTCACACCACTTTATATACTAATGAGGTTAAATTACGTGAAGTGAACTGTGTGTGTGTGTGTGTGTGTGTGTGTGTGTGTGTGTGTGTGCGCGCGCATTGATTTACAGTATAATACAGTATATGTAACCCGATATTACTGCCTCCCTCTCCCACCCCTTCCTTCCCTCCCTCCCTCCCTCCTCTCCCCCTTCCTTCCCTCCCTCCTTTCCCTCTTCCTTCCCTCCTCCTCCTCCTCTCCTTCATCCCCCTCTCTGCCTCCTTTCCCTCCAACATCTTTAAATCCTCTTTGAGATTTTCACTAAAACATTTACCGATAAACATTTAGTGAAAATCCTATAATGGCCAGACCTTAAACGATCTCCTGGTGGTGCTACGGCAGGAGGAGGTGTGTGTGTGTGTGTGTGTGTGTGTGTGGTAGGAGGTGAGGGAGGTACGGACAGGCCACCAGTACTGCCGCTTTAATTCGTAACTTCTCAGTGCTTGACCCAGCCATTGCTGCTACTCTACTGTTACTTCCACCTGCCACCACTACCTCTGACAACACTACTGTATCTCTGACAACACTACTGTATCTCTGACAACACTACTGTACCTCTGACAACACTACTGTACCTCTGACAACACTACTGTACCTCTGACAACACTACTGTACCTCTGACAACACTACTGTACCTCTGACAACACTACTGTACCTCTGACAACACTACTGTACCTTTGACAACACTACTGTACCTCTGACAACACTACTGTACCTCTGACAACACTACTGTACCTCTGACAACACTACTGTACCTCTGACAACACTACTGTATCTCTGACAACACAACTGTACCTCTGACAACACAACTACAGCACCTCTCTGACAACACTTCTGTACCTCTGACAACTTTTCTGTATCTCTGACAACACGGCTGTACACTCTGACAACACTACTGTGCCTCTGTGCTTTTTACTACCTCTCTGACAACACATTACTTCAATGTGAAAGTGTTTTACAATGAGCAAGAAATATACAGACGTAGTGTGTGTGTGTGTGTGTGTGTGTGTGTGTGTGTGTGTGTGTGTGTGTGTGTGTGTGTTGAGCTATCAGGATATAATATAAGTTACATTGATCGGGGTTTACTGCAGCGTGAGGTCGGACCTTTGGTTAATTTAAAACAGGCATTACCTGTATTGATATGTTGAGCACACACACACACACACACACACACACACACACACACACGGAATACATAGATAAATACTGTAAATACATAAATTTTTGTGTGTATTACTGCCAATACAACTCACTTTTAATCTGTAATTGTTTGTAATTTGAACAGGTGAGGTAAGGGCAGGTGAGGGTAGGTGAGGTAGAGGTGAGGGCAGGTGAGGTAGAGGTAGGCAGGTGAGGTAGTGGTGAGGGCAGAGCGAGGTAGGGGGGAGGGCAAGCGAGGTAGTGGTGAGGGCAGGTGAGGTAGTGGTGGAGGGCAGGTGAGGTAGTGGTGAGGGCAGGTGAGGTAGTGGTGAGGGCAGGAGGTGGAGGTGAGGCAGGTGAGGTGGAGGTGAGGGCAGGTGAGGTAGTGGTGGAGGCAGGTGAGGTAGAGGTGAGGGCAGGAGGTAGAGGTGAGGGCAGGCGAGGTAGTGTGGAGGCAGGTGAGGTGGCGGGGAGGGCAGGTGAGGTAGGGGTGAGCGGTACTTTACCTGGACGGCTAGGTGGCTCTCTTACCTGGTGTATCATTAGCGTGGAGGTGTGTGCAGGCCTACCGGGATTACCTATCACTTTGTTGTCCCCCTTCCCTCCACACCTCCCTTCTCCCTTCCCCCACCACCACCCCCCGCCGCTCAATACCCCCGCCTACCTCACCACGGGTCACTTGACTCAGCCTCCCCTACTACGGGGAGAGGTGAGAGGGAGGGACACACGCACACACACACTTTGTTTTTTGCTAACTGTGTATGTGAGTTGAGTAGCGCACACACTCAAGGTTCCCGAAGGAGGCGGTGAAGAGGAGGGAGGATGAGGGAGATTTAGGTGGTGAGAGAGAGAGTGAGGGAGGGAAGGACACACACCAGCTGCAGGGTAGACAGGTAGGTGGTGATGGAAGCCCCGGGGTGTGATGATGAGCAGTGTGTGTGTGTGTGTGTGTGTGTGTGTGTGTGTGTGTGTGTGTGTGTGTGTGTGTCATATAACCACCCCGCTCCTTCCTCCTCCCTCACCCCTTTCTTCTTCCTCCTTTCCCCCTCCTTCATTTCCCTCCCTTTCTCCTCCTCCCACTACCCTCCTCCCACTACCTCCTCCTCCTCCTCCTGCCGGGGGATGTAGGGGGTGGAGGGTGATGACAACAATACTCAACAACAGCTGATGGAGGAAGGTAAATCCCCGTGTCCTGCCCCACCAGGCCTTTGTGACGGTGTGTAGGCGATATGGCCCCTCACCCCCCCCCCTGTGCCCTCCCCCATCACTCATTCTCCTTAGTTTACCCACCCCCCACACTCCCCCACCCCCTACACTCCCCCACCCCCCACTCCCCCACCCCTTCCTTACATCCTACCTGTTATTGTCTGGGGTTCATCCTGTGTATGGACCTGACTTTCCCTTTTAAGAGAGAGAGAGAGAGAGAGAGAGAGAGAGGAGAGAGAGAGAGAGACGTTTACACACACACACACACACACCCCTGTGACCATCAGAATTAATCTACTCACAGTGAGAGGTCAATGTTGTGTGATGCTTGTGTACACTGTGAGGCTAGTCCTACCTCTGACCTCGCACACCTATAGGCCACACTATGAAACTAAGGCCAGCTCTACCTCCATGGCCTCCCACACCTGGAGGCCACACACTATCAATCACTTAATATGTTGGATTTCATATATTTCCAGTAAAGAACAATACGTATTTTATCTGACGGCATAAAAGGTAATTAATAATTTGTTAAGAGTATTTTATGGCGCTAAATTAGAACACAGGAGCAGCAGGTGCCAGGTGTGTCAGGGTGCCAGGTGTGTCAGGGTGCCAGGTATGTCAGGGTGCCAGGTGTGTCAGGGCGCCAGGTGCGTCAGGGCGGCAGGTGTGATTATTATATATTTGTAATTAATCAACAGGTGTTTTTTTAAAGGTGATTTAGGTCTTATTGTTTTGGTTTTATCGATTTAAGGTCTCCCTCCTTCCCTCACCTCTCCTCCTCCCAACGAGTACGGCTTAACGCAGTCAATGACCAAGGTCTCGAAGTGCCCCTTGTTAAAATATAATTGAATGTGGGTCACTGCATCCTAGGGGTACACACACACACACACACACACACACACACACACACACACACACACCAAATGTTAGGACTTAGGGAGGTAAAAGAGAGAGGGGAGAGAGAGAGAGAGAGCGTTAAACAGGCCACAGTGACAATTATCTTCTTTCACCCACAACTCACTCACATCGTCGTAACTTCCTTCCCCTCCCTCCCTCCATCCCCTTCCTCACCA